ATTTCCGACTAAGGTACTGCCGCCCAATGGTGGCCTTACAAGCTCACAAGCATTCCTAGCACCCATAATAATATCATATTTGCCCAGCTCTGGCCCCTAAGGTTAGTCAGTGGGCGTTTTTTGATTGACTGCAGACGCAGTCCGTCCAGCACTCCTCTCGTGAATGGCCTCAGTGGCGGGGACGTGGCAGTAAGGCCGAGTTGCTCGCACGGGCTGTACCTAGTCAGCTAATAGGATCGTTGGCAGCAGACAAACCCACAAATCCCAGCCGCTAGTGCAAGGCCCGACAGAGACTAATACAATATAATCAGGGACCGTTCTGATTACTTCGTATTTCTCGTATATATCTGGTCGTCTGTCTCCTTTAGTATCGTTCCTTAATTTTCCGCACTGCCTAGAAAACATGCACGCCGGTTTTTGTAAGACAGGAAAGCGACTCATTGTTCAGAGCGATTCCAAACTTAAGCGTTCGATGGAGCGAGAACTGCTGGTTTAACTTGCGTTGCCCCAGTTGAAACCTGCCGCCTGTATTGTTTCTTCCTCTGTCGTGTCACAGGAATAAGCAGTTTAAACAGGCGCTTGCGGGGGTAGCGACAATGTCAGAGAGACCTTTACGACAATGGTTAATACAGTGTGTTCTGTTGCCTCTGTTGCGCCTCTCTGTTGGCGCACTGACATCTTCGCCCTTGACCGTCGTGACTACCTCATTCTTCAATTTCTTTCAGTAAATTATGCGGTCCAACCACTATCATGGTCGAGCAATATTTGCAAATTTTCGCTGTAGCGCAGTCCACATCAGCCGATGTGGTTCTTAAGTTTCAATACTCTCTCGAAGATCTCCACCGGTGCTGGGACGTCCTGAGACGACGGCTAAACGCTTTGAGCCCACCGCCTTCAGATACTGATCAGAAAGATACTGCCACCGGAGAGTCGCGTCCTAAAGCGGCCTCAATGCTGTACTTTGCCATCGTAGACAGTTTCGTAGTCACGTATTGAGACACGCCTTACTGTGGTTTCCTTTTTGTCGTAAAAAGTCCTTTTCCACACAGCATCGGCACTTACGCCATGAAAACCCAAAAATTAGTTCCATCTCCACAAAACCTGTCAGCAACAATGTTTCCCAAGCTACAAGTAAGCGTTTTCAATCAATCATTGTGTGGTCGTGTCATGTTAATCCGAGCCGCATGCGACCTCATTGGGACGGAAGTTGAAACACTTGCGGGCATCTGGCACGTTGGCGCTACGCCAGCCATTAGTTCGCAAGGTCATTGCCTAGAAATGGCACTAGACGCGTGTTGTGTCCGTGTAAAAGGCGTTCTCCCATTCAGGCCAGGAACGCGCTGTGCAGGCCTCCTTGCTTACCCAGGCATCATCCAGATCAGCGGCAGCGGTGTGGATGCGTCAATTATTGCAGATTTCATAACATTATTTGAACACGCCCGAGTTTTGTCAGTAGTCGTCAGATTTTTTAGACTTGGGAATCTTTTGTGCCCCAGGAAGAGTTCGCATATACTGAATTTCATAGTTTCCATCACCGTTTTTGTGTGTTGGACTTTCCTTGTTTGTGTCTCACTTGGGGGCGTGGTTTACTTTCGCCTTCCACGTCAGTCCTGTGTTACTCTCCCCTACATCCAACTTAGATAATGGTCACTTTCGACACTTTGGCTAACGCGATGGTGTCAGTTGCTCTATTTTCCACTTTACCACGCTCTGCACTTTTTCTCCCTTATCTCATTGCGTGTGCCTACATTCGTGAAGTTCTGGCATTTTCATTATGCATCCAGGTTTGAAAACAGCATTATTTGTCAGCGTTTTGTTCACAGTGACCTACGGATAATATCTCTTTCACCAGGAATCTTTCAGGGTTGTTCACCTTTTTCTGCTAGATCCGCCCTCGCATCCTCATTATGAACAAATGCGATTTGGCAGAACCCATATCTGACATCTCTGCATTCAAAAACATTCTACGCTCCAGAGATCTGTGTAGCTCTTACCAACAGCCCCCAGCTGAGGTTTTCTTTACCAACATGAAGTCTCCCGAACGACAGAAACGCCTTATCCGGAAAATCCTCACAAGGTGAGCTTTTACCCAACGTTTGCACATACGGCAGCCTTTCCGCGTTACGCAGCGGACGGTCTAACTTCTCTCTTCTTCCTTTCTAATTGTTCTGCCCCCTGTCTTCCCGTCATTCTTTATCGTAATTTATTTTTTAGACTTTATCTTCTTAGCTTTGTCTGTCCTCTCCGCTTTTGGATTTTTGCCTTGTCCTCCGGGCTTTGCCCGCCGGACTTCTCATCCCTCCTTCGTCCATCTCCTTCCTGGCTTATCCTTTATCTTTCCAGCCTCTCATTGCTGTAACTTGTCATACGTTAGGAAACCCATAAAGCATCAAGCTGCGTTGCTAACTACGCGTCCAAATCGGAAGAGACATTTTATTGGCCTACATCATATCGAGTTGTTGCATGCGCCGTAGCATACTTTACTTCTACTAGCAATCTTCCTAGCCGCCTGCGGCTTCCTCATTTAGAAAAACACTCGATCGACGTACATGTCGAACTACTTCCCGCCTATCAGAATTGGCGTCACTACCTGAAACAAGAGGGTCTGGCTTGGGATAATGTAAGTGCTACCACTACCCTCATAGTCTCCAACGGACTGGCATCTACAAGTTCTGTAAGTGGCTAAGTGAACATGTCAATTTATGATCGAAAATACATGCGGATGCAATTGCCGGTCGTCATCACTAGCCTACCGTCCCTATAGGCGCATTTAATGGGCACGAAAGTGGTTAACAGTCAAGGCGAGCAGACAGTCTTCACCAGCAGAAGCGACCCCCATGGCCAACAAGTGGGACAGTCTTCTGATGAGATTGCACGACAGGTCAAGTGCCAACCTTGGCTGTTGTCTAAATACCTACGATTTTGTGTGCTTCCCCAGTCCATGAAAATAGGACGTATACCGACCTTTATAAAACACCCTACAGTAACACAAGTTATTACAATGTTCCGTGGTGATTTTTCGACTACTCGACCCGGGTGTTGGTTTTGCCTGCATAAGTAATTTCTCCCATGTGAAAGCATGTTGTAGATTCCTGGCCAATTTCAATTATTGTTGACGCGTACTACAACTATTCCGCTGATCCGTATTCTGTGATGGATGGTTTATGTATGGCTTGTGCGTGGAGTAGATCCGTCAAAGAGCTGGATCTGGAATATGTCCTGTCAGTCACTGTCACATTGTGGTCTGCGGCTGCCTATTCGTCAGACACAAGAATTTGCCTACTTCACAGTTAATTTCCACAGAAACCCGTTCTACTATCCGTCACCTGCAGACCAGCTGCATATCTCTCAGCCATGCCGCCAGGCAGACCTTGTTTCATCCGGAGTTTCTGACATCTCAGTAAGGTGCGTTCTGAAATAGGGAAACTGATCTTGGACGCTTTATCCTAACCATAATCTGATCGACCCGCGTCCATACTCCTGGTTCCGTAGCGTTAGGGCCATGAAGGTTTGCTGCCGGGGAATGGGAGTAGGTTGGTCCTCAAGACTGACAGTCAGTTGTAAGGTTGTTTATCATGATTTCTGTTATAAAGCCGGGCTATTAGATTCTCGTTCGTGTGTAGTGAGCTGCTAAACAAGTATGTGACACGCGTAACATGCAGGCTCTTTTTCCAGTCTTAGATTCAGTTGTCTTGGCCATAGCATGCAGTTGATATCGCAATTCGACCGTCGCATCCGACGATGTCCACTGTGTGCTCCACAGCAAGTTAAAGCAAACACAGTGATTTGCGCGTGATTTAGTTTATAGTGAGTACAGACTTGCGCTGCATCTACCGCACTCCCTCCCCCACCTGGACCCAGTGTCAAGACAGAGTCAAGAGGACCGGAGGCGGGGGGCGCAGGTGGATAGCACGGTCGAGCCCGCATCTTGGCGCTCCACTCTACACCCCATGGTCCACACAGCAAATGAGCAGGATTTTAACCATCTACAAAAGGGGGGGGGGCTGGCGCGGCCGGAGCCGCGCCTGGGCGTGCCGTCACACCCGGCTCGGACCTCATAAGGTGGGAGTGTCGTCAAGGCCACATTAAGAAGGGGCCATTGCAGCCTGACTCTCAGACCACCATCCGTCCGCTGCACACAAATACACAACACTGGGCCTCCCCACTTCCAGACTCCAGCCACTGTCCGTGCCAGTTAGTTGACAAGTGCGGCGAATGGGCGCGGTGGCTGACATGGTCTAGTAACCTTGTCTGCGCACGTCGCATGCACGACCTGCCCCCAAAAACAAGCACCAGGATTTCACACAACGGGGTTGGGCGGCGTGCATCTCACATGCGTGAGCGTGCCATAGTTCACGCTAAAAAGGAGTCGTTGCAGCCTGCCTCTCGGTCCACCACTCTGCCACTCCAAACAGACACGTACACACAATCGGGCAGCCTGCGTGGACCAAGTTGGGACGTCAGTCAGTGGCCTTCCAAGCCACGGCGCTTGACGGACCGTGATAGTCTCAGATGTGAATCACACATGCAGCAGAAGAGTCGCATGGAGACGGAGCCGAGACGCACAGTTTGCACTTGCGTAGGAGGTGGCATTTGGATGCTTGCGGTTGGGAATTCTACAGGGCGGGCTCACCCTCAGCCTGTAGGTGGGGGGGGGGAGGAGGGGAAAGAGAATGTGTCGCTTCTTGTTTGATTGTTTCGATCGTGTAGTCAAAAAGTCTGAAAGCGAGTGCTATGCCGGTATCAGCAAACCATGACCCTCGCAGCCTGCTATGCGGCGGCAGTTCCCTGACACCTGATTCCCTGCCGGTTGATACGCTTACGCTCCCGCTGTATATACAGGTGGTGAGCATGGTTACCCAGTCGTCATCGTCCTTCTGACCCCTGTTGAGGCGTTGAGGTTGCTGTTGTTGGTGAAAATTCCTGGTCAAGTTTATGTTGTGGACTAGACGGTTTGGTGGTACATCTAGGTGCGGGTTCGGATGTGCCAGCCACCTGCACCCTCCCACGCCTCCGGTCCTCTTCACTCTGCCTTGACACCGGCTCCAGGTGGGGAAGAAGAGAGTGCGGTAGATGCTACGAAAGTCTACCAGCATTATAGACTGATTCACGCGCAAGTCACCGTGTCTGGTGCACCTTGCTGTGTAGCACACGGTGGACATCGTCGGAATCGACGGCCGAGCCGTCGTTTCGACCGTGTTTTTTGCGTGTGCGAGCCACGGTCAGCGCGCAGAGGACATGATTCCAGCATTTGTTTAGGGTACCTTTTCTAACCCCGTCCCCCTCACAGGGGTGAGCAATACTGTCCCTAACTAGGGCTGCTCAGGCATCCCAGACGATTTTCGGACTCAACTATGGGCCACAACTTTATTTAGTGAGATAACCACCCGAGTTAGTCTCGACTGCCTACGTGATCTCTGTCGCTCTCGCCATAGGACTTTTTGAAGGGTGGGAGGCGGGGGAGATGAAGGAAGGGGAGGGTGGAGGGACGGGAAGCAGAGGGAGCGAAGGACATAGAAGGAGGGTGGAGAATAGGTGCGAAAGGGAGGTGAGGAGACGGTCTTCCAGCCACCGGGTCAGCAGCTCGCTGAGTGCGGGGTAGCAGGTGGAGTCCGATCTCGGAGATGCTGAGGCGGTGATCCCTCTGGCCAGCGGTGGTGGGAGTGGAACCGAGTTACCGTGTGTGGAGATGCACATACGGGCACCCTCACCTGGTTTAGCCCGCCGATCTTGGCGTTTACCGGGATGTGGCCGCTAGGCAGAACCTAGCTTCGGGGAGCCGCACGTGAGAGTTGGGTGCCAGCTGATGGACGCTAGACTTAGTCTACACATGCAAGCAAGTTAACGACCTACTACGACCAGCATGTGCACCCACAACTGGGCACTCCTACACCATGCGACTGGTACATGGTGGGAGACGGTGTGGCTAGTTCTGTGCGTTCTTGCCTCACCATAATCGGATTGACTCCTGGCTCACTCATGGCACCTCAGGGGTTGTATCTATGAGAACTGAACTGCTCACCATTTGTTCCAACACGGCACGTAGCTCTCACTTATCTTTCCAAATAGCCATATATATGGGCCAGGAACCCATACCGTCTGTTAATATGAGTTAACCTAAGTGGAGATAGTCAGTGAGGCTTCGATCCTAATGAAATGAGTATTGGCTTAGCTGGGCGTGCGTAGTCGGATCCTGTAGACTGGGCGGACGAATAAACAACGAGCTCAGCCAGGAAGGTGGTTCTGCTGTACCATGTGCTGAGTGAGTGCAAATAAACCACTACAATTACTCCTCTCAACCGTCTTCGTTTCCGATTTCAATAGTTATTTGTGCTGGATGCTCCTCCCCGCATAGCTTTCTTTCCACGGCTTATCATGAAAGCATACCTTCAAGTCCTGGTGAAGCAGGGGAGTAATCTCTGGCAATCGTGTCACCGAACATGTCTGATGACTTTGCTTGCCGGATTCTGACCTAAGACAAGACCTGCTTGTTTACATTTTGGCACGGTTAAAGTATTCTGCCGAAATAAGCCTCATTAAGACTTGCATATTAAATATGTTGCCTTAATGCTTTGCTCCAGAATCAGGATAGGCGACATTCCATTTGGGTTTGACGAACGGACTTAATTGTCGTCCGCCAGGAGCAGAGCGAAGTTACCCTGTCGTGATGCATTCAACTGATCAACTGACAGTGCTGTAAGCTGCAGTCAACCGATGAGATTAATTAGAGGAGAATAACGCAGGTCCTTAGCAGAGACCGGATTACGAAAGATGCGTTTTAGCATACGCATATCTACTTTCAATTCACGGGAATGATAGGAGGACAGTTAATTGTGCGCCGCGAAGTACATATAACAAGAAAGGGCCATACAGGGGTTACGGACTGGGAAGGGGACGAACGTGTTAAAGAGTGGTTTCCATTTTCAATAAAACTTGCCGAGGAGCAATAAGACGGTGGTAATACAAAAACGTCGAAAGGTGGAAGTAGATTAAACGGAATTTAAAAGCTTGAAGACGTACTTGCATAGTTTTATTTTTTTACGATAAGTTATCTGTTGCTATGCCTACTTAGTGCATCCTTGCTGTTCGCCTCTCATCTGTTTTGTAGTCTCGCGCGTCTTTCCCCGAACACAGACTCCTATGTGACGTCCTCCTCAAACGAATTTTCCGCCATTGAGAGGGATTTTGAGGCCGGTGGAGACCTCACAGCCGACGAAGTTACCACCACTGGTAATGGAAGGGCTGAACTCATGACCATGGTGGTCGGACTTCCCAACTGCGGCAAGAGCACCTTCATTAATGCACTGCGCAGCTTCGCTCAGCCTGGTCGTCGACGGGCCGTCGCAGTGGGCAAGAATGCCGGCAGAACTCGTTCAGTTGGTTCGGCCATCGTTCTTGCGCCCAGCTTCCCCATCGCCGCCACCGAGGGTGGTGGAGTCGCACGTGAGTGCTGCATCCGCGTTATCGACACTCCTGGGATTCTGGAACCCAGAGCTCAGACATTGTGTGGCCAACTTAGTCTTGGTGTTTGCGGCGCGCTGGATTGGGATGCCGTTGATAAGGGTGAGTTGAGACGACCTGTGGTAGTTTTCGTCGCTGATCCATGGTTCTTGTCAGTGCGACTTGGCGGATGCCCACCCTACATCTGCAGTACTTCTTTTCGGCTCAGTATTTTACGTAATAATCTCACCGTTGTGCCTATTAGTTTTACCTTTCGTAAGCTGCATAAACCAATCTATCCTAGAGGGACATATTACTATCTTACTACAGGGGGAAGTAGGTTTATAGGTATGCATTCATGTGTTTGTGCCTGCACGAATCCCTGCGCGGCCTTCTGATACAATATGCGATGCACGGAAACCGTCCTCGCCGTGCCATCGCGACCATCACGCCGAGCGGCCGCTGGTTTGGCGGTTTGTGGCCCATAAAACTGCGCGTTTTCATCCACTGGAATCAAAACTTGTGAACTCCCGTGTCATTAACCTCACTGGTTGCTCTCTTATGGTGGAAAAACAAATTGTCGCACTATGACGTGCTGTCCTAAAAGTATTCCACGTTCCTTTCTTTACTCAACACAACTTCCCCGCAGTGACTGTGTTCTAACAAAAGAGCCAGCGCTTCGTTACGCCCAATCTATGGCACCCACTCGATGTAGAAACAGTTTCGACGACCGACAGGGCCGAGTTTTTGAGTAATTCACTTATATTTCTTTGACATTGCGCTAGTCTGCTTTACGCCAAGGGTGGCAGAAACTTAGACAACGTATTTTGCGCCAGAAAACTTACACGATTACTATGTTTAATCTTGAATTCTCTCATAAGTCAACCCCCATTTCAGTCGCTTGTTCAGGAGACTGCGATAGTCGTATACGGTGTGGGAAGTAGCTAAAAACAGTGAAACTGCTTGTGAATCAGTTTGGCTACGCGAGCACGCATTTGCCTGACCAATACATGAGTGGGGTTTGTGATCGGTAGTTGCGACTGCTGACTTGCCCCCCCCCCCCATTTATTTCTACAAAGTCCCACATTTATTGATCACAGTTTACTGTCGCTAATCGGGCGGAACTCATCCTACTGTTTTTGTCATTAAGGTATTTTCATACGCCCGTAAGTCAAGAGGGCTCGGCTGTCTTTGTTATCCGTACGCAACTACACTTCTTATCCGTATTAGGAGATCTTAACGACCAGCGTTTGTGCAAACCATGTTTGAATAACGGTCTCGATTGTAATCCTGCGGTTATTGGGGTCAAACTGCACCGTATCCCCAGAGCTGTTAGTGACTGAACCAGCCAGGAGTGCTTGGCGGGAGATCAAAGCGTGCATTTTAATAGTCAACGAGCAATGTAACTATACCAAAACACAAAACTCGAACATCATGTGTTTGTGATCTCATTGCCCACAGAGGCTTGACTCTTTAACTTACCATAAATTTGTAAATGTGGGTGCTGCGAACAGGACTAGTATTTAAGCCAGTGCGACTTGATGCGTCCCTATGCACAAATAGTTTTTATAAACTCTCCGGCAATCGTCCACAGAATGGTTTCCCAAAACCATATTCTGTCCTGTAAAGGGCCAGGCAGACGGCCCCTTTTGTTTCCATATTGCGTCTGATATGGTTGCACTAGCAAGGCACGGATGCAAACTGAGCAATCCCTTTATCTTTAATACGCAGGGTCCCTTTGCTGTTTCCGAATGACCTATTCTCTCCCCATATGCCTTTATTTATAAATTCTATCGAAACTTCTATTTGAGCTGCGCTGCAGCACGAGAAATCTGACGTTATCTTCTTTTTCTGGGCGTGTTTAGTACTCACCAGGACGAAAAAGGCTAGATACGCATGCGAGGTCCCCTTTTTATCAGTAAGACTGCCACGTACCTCTTCCATTTTGAAGGGCTTAGCAATTGGTTTTATTTTGTGTGGCCCACCCGAGGCCCTCATACCTCTTCTTACCTTCGCATTTTCTTTTTCAGAGCTGTTGGCCGACTACCTGCTCTTCTGCTTAAATCGTAGGCAGCGTCTGGAGTACGTTCAGGTCTTCGATATGCCAGGACCAACGAGCAATGTGGCGGAGTTGTTGGCTTGGATCAGCGCACACAGTGGTCTATTCCTACGAGTCTCATCTCGACGCACCCTAGGAGATCTCGCCGCTGCCAACAATAAGACCTCTTTGCCTCAGCCCGACTTCACCGCTGCTGCCCATAAGTTTCTTCGCCTCTTCTGTGAGGGTCACCTTGGCCGATTGACCTTCCGACCCGAGGACGAGGAGGAAGCCAGTCGGTTTTTTGTCCTTGCCCCTGGCAGTAGTGGAGCCAAGTAAAGCGCATCTCTCCTTGCGTTCTTTCGTTTCTCCCGTTTTGTCCGTGACTTCCCCCCGCATTTGTGTTTCTTTGACCATCACAGGGAACCAGCTCTAATGTTTAACCTTCCTCCTCCCTTCTACCCCCATCGAACACAGTTTGTCTGTACAGTCTACCTCGTGTATAAAGCACTAGCACGCGTCGTCTCTTCTGAAGTGTTCTTTTCTCCATAGCTGTCTCCATTTACACTTTTGACTGACTTCATTTTTTCTCGTCTTCCCTCCCCCCCCCCCTCCTTAATATCCTATAGCGACAGATGGAGGACGCCCTGACCACGACTGCGCCACAGGTTGTACAAGCCAGCATGGACAAGCTCGGTGACGTGCTTTCCAAGAAACTGTCCCTGGATGATATCCCAGTTCCCGAAGACTGGGTCGGATGGCTCTCCTATATGTGTTTGAAAGTAAGAAGTTACACATCTGTCGCCAGACTCGGCCTGCCACATCAGCTTAATTGTTTTTTTTTTTCTGGAGCCTTGTGCTCTCCTTCAAGTATCAAGTAACACTTACACTCAGGCTTGACAACGGCATTTTACGATAATTTTTAAAGGTCAACACCTTCCTTATGAATCAGACTCCTCTTCCACTTCTTTGCGTTTTGAGTTTCACCGTACTTAGGATTGCTGTGCGAGACTCGACTATTCCTCAACAACTCGAGATACTTTACCCGAGACGCGTTATGCCTGGCGCTTTAGGACCGTCCGCAATCGTCTATTTTAATCCGGTGCGAAAGCCACCAACCAGCCTCCTTAAGTGGAAACCGGTGATAATTATTGCCCATCGTTGTAGAAGACGACCAAGTCAGTGTGGCGGACGCCCGGTGATAAAGTTCTGGACGCCTATTCTATGGCAACCGAGGCCTTAAATTTTTTAGACAAAGTGGCCTCCTTGTTGGGGATGTGGATATAAGTCAACCTCAAGGATGTCATCACGGTGCATCTCTACATCCTCAAATCAAAATGGTAACTTGTAACATCCGACGTGGCTTCTCTTTATTCGAGTTTGTTGCGAAAATTTTCATGGAATCGTCCTACAACCACCGACGCGGCCCTCAGTACACAACTTCAGATAAATGCGAGAAAATGAGGGCCGGCGGCTAGGCCACTTTTGCCGATTTTACAGGGGCCTCCTGCCTCATAAAACGTGACGGACTGTGAAAGAATCATAGAGGTTTGGATTCCCCGACAGGTTCACGCAGATGCTGAGAAAACTTTACGACGGAATGGTGGCTCGTGTCACGGATGGTGTACTTTCCCCAACCCTTTCCAGCCGTAGTGCAGTACTAAGAAGCGTCCATCGTTAGGAACAGCCAGAACTCGACGTTAACTCAGAAGAAACGGGAGGCTGCTCAACACCTGACGTACGCATGTTGCCGCAAAAACCTCCAGAACCAGGGTAGACAATCTTCTCTTCACTGAGGATTGCGTTTTGCGCAATTATGCAGTAAGGTCCGGATATCTTCGTCCTTGGATGCACGATTTCCATGCATCAGGCAGCTCCAGAGGCCGATTATAGTGGACGTGCAACGTTAATCACTGACAGGACTGCCATTTGAACAGCACTAGCATTGCACCGCGGATCTCAAAGGTCATCCTTGCCTTGCTAGGCTCCAGTCTAGCGTATTGAGTCGCTGGGTCGTTTTCATCAGCACCAAGCTGATGTTTAAATGACTGTAGCCTAGATCACGCTCCCATATGATATTATTCCTTTGTTTTATTGGGTAATGTGTTCCTACACGAGTCCAAAAGTTCGGATTAATACAGTAGTTGTCCCTTTGATCGGCGAACCCTTTTTGTTAGGCGTAGGTGCGGTCAAGTCGAGATTGCAGAGTACGCTCGCTCGAATGTCTTCGATGTTTCTTAGTGAAACGCCAGCTGGACAGAGGCTGTCGGCCATAGAGGATTAACCTCTGGTTTGAAATGCCGTGTACTGGGTTGTCGACTAAACCAGTGTCGCTGCTAGTCGATATACCCGCGATTAAGCTGGGTCTTCCCAGCCGCTCTACACGAGTCCTTTTGTTGATGCAAAAACACCCACTTGCTCAGAACTCCTTCGCGCCGGTAGAAACTGTAAATCAATGCATTCGTTACACAATTTTGCAGTGTTTTGCTGCCATTCTGTCCTTATAAATTCGTCTTATTGCATTTTACCCTGTCCGCTGGCAAGTGCTGCGCAACTCATTGTGCCATTTTACCACCTTCCTTTTTATAGTGGGCAGTGTTCGCTGCTGAGGATCCCTGGGGTTTTGTTGGCTATGTGATGATGATCGTGGGCCCGCTCTTCCTTGTCAGCGCAATTTGTTCATGGAAATTGGCCAAGATTTTGGAGAAGGAGGCTGCCGATAAGAAACAGAAGGCTCGTCGGGAAGCTAACGTCTCGAAGACTCGTCGCCATCCCAAAGCCGAATGACGAGCGAAGCGACTATACGCGTATGTCTACGTTCACTTAGGCCTTAACATCTGTGAGCGTCTGCTATGCCATTATTCAGCAAACCCTGACTCTCGCGGCCTGGTGTACCCTGGCAGCTCTCTAACGCCTGTTCCCCTGCCGGTAGGTGTGCTTGCGCTCCCGCTGGGTTTACAGGTCGTGAGCATGGCAGCCCAGCCATCCTCGTCTTTCTGAACCGTTGTGTTGCTGTTGGTGAAAAATCCTGGTCAAGTGTATGTTGTGGGCCGGGCGGTTTGGTGGCACACCTAGGTGCGGGTCCGGCCGCGCCAACCACCTGCATCCTCCCCCGCCTCCGGTCTCCTTGACTCCGTCTTGACCGGGTCCAGGTGAGGAGGAGAGAGTGCGGTGGATGCTACGCAAGTCCACTATCACTATAGACTAATTCACGCGCAAGTCGCCGTGTCTGGTGCACCTTGCTGTGTAACACGCCGGTCGAACTGTCACGTCCACTTAGACGAGATTCCCTAGAAGCTGGGTGGATGTTTATGTACAAGCATAGAGGCGTTTTATCTCTTACGTCAAGTGCATCCAGAGGCACAGTAGTTGGAGATAGTACTCGTCATCCAGCTTTTTTCCGTTTCCGCAAATACTTGAAAATTCTGTAACTTGGTACTTTGTTTGCCTAATCTGGCAGGGGGTAGATTAAAAAAGTGGGACATCCGTTAGACGAATAAGAATCTATCATGTCATAAGGCCAAGCCAAGTCAAAAAGGTACGTGTGGTAACCAGAACGGCAGTATCCTTGCAATGACAGACTGCTCTCCTCGAAAACTTCATTGCAGGCCCACAATACCTCTTCAGAGTTAAAGTCGTCGCGCACCGGACAGGCAACTCGCTATCATTTTGTCGAAACAGGCGTTTTAGAAATATTAAGTGTTGTTGTCATAAAGTATTTCAATTGTACGACATAAGAGACTGCACCATTTGGGATTGTGGTCATGATCGCGTTTTCGCGATATTTTTGACCTTTTCACCCGGCCAGTAGTCTAGGGGCTGGTGATTGTTGAGACACTGTTTGAAGACAATAATCTTCCCTGCCTCTACCGCGGTCATCGAGGGGTTATCCACTTTCGCACAACATGTTGCGAGAAGAACGCGGAGTGCTAATTTGCCCTACCGGGCTGCTTGATATTCTACCCATATCCGCGGAGACTCGATTCCGATGCCTAGAGGCGCACCATAAATAAGATGGCCAAACTGAAGTTCCGTGAACACCAAAATTGACTGTTTGCCATTAAGCCCTTTCTCCTCATCCCGGTCTGCTCGCTTGTGTGGCTGGAAGGGTTGTGATCGTATCCATTGCCGGATAGAAATTTAGTCGCGCAGGACATCTTGATTAGCGGACAGCCCTACACCAGCCTTTATCTGTGTGTAGGTCCGTAGGCATACAACCGAAAACACAAGCAACACAGATGACGTCTCACCGATGGGGTCAGCGGCAGCATCGGACTGAATTTCCCCAACACCTCGCCACCTGTAGTCGGAGTGGACAATGACAGTCTGAATATCCCCACGCACACACTGTATATTTCCTACCTGCTCTCCTTTGCAATAACTTCGTGGTCATATAGAGTGTCTTAAAAACAGTACTAACTGCCGCCACTCTGGTGGGCACCAAATTTAGATAAATTAACATGACTTTCGCAGGGCTGAATGGAACCGAAAGTACCCCTGGAAATACCTGACGTTGTCGTAGCAAACGTTTGAAAGTTTTGCTCCTTTGAGCTCATTAGGAACAGTTTGCGTAGCCTACCCAGGCTGCGTTTTGATTTTCACAACTGGACCTGCCGGCGGATCGGCAAATGTGTAACTGCCTGCTTTTGATCACCAGTTTAAGAGACATATCTCGCATAAAATAAGTGAGTCATACCAACAGTTCAAATATCTGTCGCCACGTATTTCGCGCCCAGTCACTGACCGATCTCCTGAAATTTTAACCGAAATTCTGAAACGTTTTAGCTTATGAAGGATTCCTTACGTGGGGTTGTGTTATTGATCATCGTGCAGCATAATCACATGATATTTCACGCACGAAAGGATGCTGGGTTCCGAATGCACTGTTTCTCGGCTACCTGCAAAGCCACGCTCAGCAACAGGTGACTACTTAAGTAGCATGGACTTTTTCCATTGATCTTCCATGTCCTTGTAGATTCAAACACAGCTTATAGAAAATATAATTAAAAGTATGCCTTCTCATCCTCATTTGGTAGTAACTCACGTATTCTTTTGAATTTTATACTAGAGGAAAAGTTATCTTTCTATTTTAAAGGAGTTCTTTGATTCTTAAACAATCGCAAGCCCGACCTACGTCATTAAGGAAGTGCCACATAGGATCCATAAAGGTGTGCAACGCATGTGCACTATGGTGTATAGTTCACAAGGAGCATTAATATACGGACAGATACGATGATATTCGAATGGACATCGCACGATCTCTAAAGTTTCGCAGCTGCAAACTTTTTGAAGACCGAAGGGCATCTTTTCTATGTGTATGTGGTTTGAAGATGTGATTTACTACTAGATGAGTACAATAAAGCACATCTTCAATTGTTTTATATAAAACATGTTTAGATTTATAAAACAATAGAAGATCATCTGGAAAGGTGAACACCACTTATATAGTCATTTTTGCCGGCTACGGTTTCTACAGGCCACAGAAAAAACCCAAAATCCAGCATCCAGGTGTGACTGAAATATCTCGGAATTATGTTGCATGATAAGCGGTCCTCCCAACTCGAAAGCACACTTCAGAACTTCGGTTAAAATGTCATGAGGTCGGTCACTGACTGCATACCGTCAGCAGATCAAATGCTTGTTTGTAAAGTCTCATACTTACAACACGTCTATCATGCCAAGAATGGACAAGGAAACCCAGTCGAGGGCAGTGACTTGCCCATGGCATCTGGAACCGAAGACAGTGGCGAAACGCCGCATCCGCTCTCCTTATCCCATCGACCCTCAATCTTTGGTTTATTCTATCTCTCGTATTTCACGTCATGATCTTTGTCCGGAGAAGCTGCTAAGGTCCCCATAATCAGTACAGCACTTTCAAATTGCGACTACCATTCTAAAACATATTATCTTACACCTATTGTTTTTTTTTAGCGCGATCGACTTCCCTTCCCGCGTACGAGAAAACCCTGTTTGGATATGTGTGAAGTGGCTGTTCTCTAATCCTTTTTGGTATTTTGTCAGACTTTCCAATGCTCTTTTGTCTACTTACTATAAAAATTTGCTCATTTATTCCGCCTATTCACTGGCACGGGGGTACGGGCCGTACTCTGCCGACATTTGTGATAGCAGAAATTTCGTCCTTACAAAGCCGACGCGCTCGTAAACTAATATAGCATTGTCAGGTAGGAAACGTGCACCCCTAAGTCGGTAGGTGCTATCTCCTTAGGCCATTGAATTCCACTCTTCGCTCATGCAGAAACCATTCGATGAAGTATGCCAACGCTGTTGGTGACGGGTAACGTATGTTGGGATGGTTGCGTGTCGCACATGTTAGCCACCGCGCACATCCCTGTTTTCAGTCACTTGATTCGGGCAGACCACTGGGACCTGGGAGAGGGGAGAGTGAAGTCCCGTCTCAGGTCCAGCACTTAGTTCACTTTCGATAAATAACAAAATGCTTTTAAACCCACGATCCGCTAACAGTCGTGGTTTGGATGATTGCTAACTGATTGAGCATTTGGGTCCTTCTGAGGATGGGGGATCTGTATGCAATGGTTTTTTTAGATGGCCACCCTCATCCATGCGAGATCAAAGACCATTTTGTTGGAGACTAGCTCCTGCGACACTAGGACCTGTCTTCCCTTGAACGGTGGATAAACTTTTTACGTCATCGAAGCGCTGCGTTACTGACTTTGAAGTCAAGGAAATTAGCCGCATTAGGTTCATCAACTAACTCCACCTTCGTCTATGTGGTAGCGTTTGTGAGCAGGCGCAGTGTTCCGTAAACGCCTTCCGACCAAGACAATTCCTTGCATGACTGCAGTGCGCAGACCTCGTCTCTATTCCATAGTCTGGACCTCAATGTCTAACTGTGAACGGCGCGTGTGACGAGGCACTGTCCGCGCCATCATTGAGGCCGTTCATAACAGGCACGACTAGGATGGCATCAAGTACAAAAAGTGGCAAGTCTCTGACCCGCACAGGGACCTGTCTGATGCAAAAGTCGATCTGTGCATCGCTGCTAGCCAGGTGGCTCATCGTGCTGCAAGTTGTGGCAGACAGGACTATCCTGTCTACGTTCCAGCAGCAGCAGCTGCGCTACGCACTCTCCGAGGTTGCTCTATCATTGCAGTCAGGGCCAAAACATCTTCCACACTATGCGGGCGGAGGCCCTACGGTGCAGCTCTACAACTGTGGAGGGACGAGCCGCCGCATGCAGTTAGTCACTATTAACCACTTTCATGTAGTTAACAGCGCACTGACCACAGGAGCTGGGCATCTGGTCAGTCACTTTTAAGAAACGTTTGGTAGTAGGTAGGTAGACTTCCTCCCGTTAGATTGAAATCTTAAGGAATCTGAGCCCGTGATGCACACTTAACACTGTTGCAACACGTTTGGGAATTTGTACTTTCAAAGATTTTAGCACACACCGCAGTGTGTGCCTTTAACTCACGTTTGCTCTACAAAAGTGCCTCACACATGGCGGCCGTGAGGCAGAGACTAGTTCCGCTCAGCATTCTGGCGACAAACCTTGACAACAACAGGAAGAATACCTCCGAGTAAACTTCGTGTCAATGAACACAAGAGACAGCCTCCCTGAAATCATTTCGTTCTGAGTATCATAAATGGTCCTCAAAGGGTCGACAGACTAGGTAAGCTAGTGTGGACTCAGACGAGATGAGTACCGACAGTAGATAAAAGGTAACTATGACGGGCTGCCTTTGGAGTTGGCGTCTGTGGTAGACCAGCACATGCGCGACTTAATTTACGGATTTGTAGGCCGGCGTTACCAAGAATCATCTTGAAATAGAGGAAATGTGCTTGCTCTATGGCGCTTGTAGGCGGTCCGACTGATTATCTAAGATGAGGATAAGGGTGGCGGGCAGGTACTGTATGTTCTTAAGTCTGTAACACAACCTCACTTTAAGTAGGGTCGAGAGCATCCACTTGGTGCCAGGGGCTGCTGGTTCTTCAATAGGCGGATCAAGCTATAAGTCGGCGTGAGCGTCTCCATTCATTGATAATGAAGATCCTCCGTCACTTGGATTCCGGTACAGTAGATATGCTGCTCCATGGAATGTTAGCCGATATTCCGAGATGTGCCCTTGGTTAGAAAAAGTCACTTACATTGGCGGTAAGACTCGAGCGGCATAATCACAAGATGCCGGCTTTTGAAAGAGCTTTTTCCCGACCACTTGCAAAGACCACGCTGTAAAAATAACTACTTAGTATGTGTTTTTCCGGCCGAGTTGAGATGCCCATACACATTCAAATATATTTTACAGAAAACGTACAAAAATATTTTTCATGTTTTTTCGTAAAAAATTACATCTCCAAATTTTATACTTGGAAAAGGGATATTTTTCGCCTTTAAGAATTTTTAACTATGACAGTTTCAAAACCGCGAAATGTCTACGCATAGAAAATCGTACCTGTTCATTCAAAGCTGTGGATTATAAGGTACACAACACGGTCCAAATCCTTTGCAAAGTTTTATGAGCCGTACACAACATGTAGATGTGTGATTTTCTATACAGGAAGATATACAGCTTATAGTTTGTAAGCCTGAGCACAATTGCAACGGCAGGTCAGGTCGAAATTATTCCGGCATTGAGGTTTTTAAACATTGAGAGATACGTTTTTTTCAAGTGTGAGCTTTGAAGACTTAATCCCCAACGAAATGCGCACGGGGAAGGACATTTTTGCGCGTTTTCGAAAAGGTATACCTAAATGTATAAGGACATCGAGAATCAGTGGGCAGTATATAATCAAGTAGCCACTTTGACAGTGTGGACTCCCACGCAGCCGGGAAAAGCTCGTCCAAAAGCCGGCACCCTGACGTGACGAAAATATCATGTGACTATGCCGCGCGATAATTTGTCCTACGACCCTACGTAATTAATCTTTCCTGACCGAAGAGACATTTCAGAATCTCGGTTAACATTCCATGAGGTAGCAGATCCACTTTATGTGTTCCCTGCGTTTCGCAGGTCGACGTCCCAGACTGACCGCGTGACCTGTGGGGCAACTTTTGCGTAGACTATTCCAGTGTTCTCGCGGTAGGTTATCGCCTTTGAGTCCTTCCTGCCCGTCACCTGTGGCGGTCATTATGAAAATTGAGAACTGGTCAAACTCGTGTGTCTTTGCTCCTTTGCGAATTCCACCCTGTGTGCGCCGACTGGCTCTCATTACTGCTAACAACCCATCTTAGACCCACTTATTCGTAGGACTGCTGTGGTCCACGAGGCGGACCCACAGCACTTAACCGCCATGCTCCCCTGAGGGGGGACAGAAGATTTTAATTGTAGGGCGGTGTAAATAGGATTAGGCATTACAGATACATCGCAGTCGAGAGGTTCCGGCGAGTCTTTCGACGGTACGAATAGAAAAGGCTGGACAGTTCTGCGGATAGATGCACTCTGTGGGCGACCCTTGATGAGAATTTGTTCTTCTAATGGAATGAGGTTGCCACCATGGAACAGTCTGAACCTTTCTGTCTTATATGCGGTTCTCTAAGTCTCGCGTCCCATGAATTTGAGATGGAGGAACCGACACTGTTTGTAAGGTTACTACAAGCGACTCACCAACTCAGGATTTTCCGATATGCGGTGTCCCTCCACGCTTAATAGGACTGAAGATAATATTTCACAGACCTCATAGAATCCCTTACGCATGCGTACCTAAAGAATCGCTAGCGTGTTTGGGCGTGCGTGTCCGCCGATAGAGTAGATTTGAAC